CGATATTTTTCAACATTTTAACACATTTTTCGATAAAATGATTAGTCGACTAATCGAAGAAATAATCGACAGATTAGTCGACAATGAAAATAATCGTTAGTTGCAGCCCTTATATATATATATATATATATATATGACAAAGAACAAGCCGCTGTGCAGCTACATACTCTTGTTTATTCAGTAGCACAGCACACTCCCTGAGCCAAAGAATGCGTGCCGTTCCACGACGACCATTAACTGCCAGTGGGCCAGGTAGCTGATTTGGCCAGGGAGACTAAGAAGTATGTTAGCGATGGTTACTTTGCTTGTGTTTATATGATTGTAACATTTAAACAGGTTTATTCATGTATGTATTTGACTGAGAGAGCTAAGAGAGCTTGTGGAACAGCACTTACTCGCCAGTCTGTACAACAAAATGACTCTAATGCCAGATAATCTTATGTTAGTAGTAACTTAGTAATAATAAAGGAAGGAAAGGGGGTCATCAAGCCATGATTTCAGTCCTGCCCAAAAAATCCTGGACAGAGAAATGGTGAAAATCAGTTTGTCTAACTCTGCTGTAAAGCTCCCAGTCTTTTCGCACAACAGGCATTTTCGAACATGTTGAATGTGTTTAGACAGAAATCACTGATTTTGATTTACCCGGACTTTAAGCCTTTATCCTTTGACATAAATCCTTAATCGGGGTTGTATGCTGTATTGGCTTTGAAAGACATCAGTTATTAAATGCCATTGCTCTCATTGCCAAATACAAAACTGTACTACATAAAGAACTACAGTCAAATGTACTGCTTAACATAAGCTTATTTATACCTTTGAGATTTACAGTGACAAATTTTAAGATATCACCTTGGGACTAAACAGACGCAACAATCAAATCTAATTGATATATAAGTCAGTAATGAAAATAACAATTTGCAGACCCTAATCCCAATACCAACCTTCAAGTCCATCATCCTGTACAGCTTCACTTTCCTATAGAGAAAAAACATGTTAACATGATTCATATCTGTTAACAATGACTAACTGACAGCTGTCAGCACTGGCTGTTTAACAGAGGGAGAGCTTACCTGTGGTGGGGGATGCTGTGTGTAATCATACTGCTGATAGCTGTAGCCATAACCTCCTACAGTCTGATCATAGCCCCAGGAGGAGTAATACCCAGGATAGGCCTGCTGCTGGTACTGATTGTACTGGTCGTAGCTGTGTCTGTACGCTGAGTTGGACTGCCACGATCTGTGCTCTGATGGCTGCTGCTGCCTGTTCCTTAAACTCCAGAGGGAACAATAGACACCCTGCTGAACTTAACCAATCATTTGGCACAAATACATGGGCTTACTGAAAAGGAGTGAAGACTTTAAGAAGAACTTACTTGTTAGCAGCCAGGCTCAGTCTCAGAGGTTTACCACCCAATCCCACAGCACCCTGACACTCCTCTAACGCCCGCTTCTGCAGCCGCTCGTCTGGGAACTGAACAAAGCCACAGCCCCTGCAGCAATACACAAGGGTGGGGTTCAAATTGGGGGAAAGCTTAATGAGCTGAACTTAGATGACAGCAGAACCTTCCTAACAAACCAATAGAACTCCAAATAGACTCCTTGCAGTAAAGACTCGAGCCAGAGATGCAATTTACAAATGACCCTAACCTTTGAAGGACAAGAGTGTTTTATTATCATTAGCTACTGTTATCATTATTCTTAAGGAAACAAAGGTGGAAAGGTGGAAATACATATATTTACCAATGCAGGCCAACATACACTGCTCACAGAAATTAATGGAAAACTTAATGGTCACACTATAACACCAAACGTCAGGGATATCAATCTGTCCATTTAGGAAGCACAACTGATTATAAATCAGTTTCACCTGCTTTGGTGCAAATGAAAGTGACAACAGGTGCAACAGAGAGGCAAAGGCAAGACAACCCCCAAAAAAGGAATGGTTTTACATGTGGTGGCCACTGACAATTGCTCTCTCCTTATCCTTCCTAACTGATTCTTCTCTAGTTTTGTGTTCTGCTAGTGTCCTTGTCACTACTGACAGCATGAGGAGGTACCTGCAGCTCAATCTGGTTGCACAGATAGTCCAGCTCCGCCTGGGCCCTATTTCAGAAAGCAAGATTAGTAAAAACTCTGAGTATGCTGAGCCTGAGATGAGGGAAACTCAGAGTTTTCCATTTTACAAAGCCAGCTCAGAAAAACCCTGAGTCAGTTACTATGGCAACTTACTCCATCTATGCCTGAGACTGATCATGTAGCAGGAGGAGAAACATGGCGTGGCCTTTTGTGAATAAAGTCGTGGACGTTGTGGCACAGTTTATTCACAGGCTGTTGCGTAAGGGGAAGGTAATTAGACCCAGTTTGGATGTCTCGTCGCAGGAGTGTCTGTATGAAAAACACAATTTCACCTCACACTCTAACATTTATTAACAATCTGTTCCACCCAGATATATCAAATATTACATATTGTGGATTTACATTATCATCGGAGCAAATTTTATGCATTGCCCTTTGATTCTTTGGCAGCGGCAGTTTTCTTTATAACATCGGGGACACTGAACACATAAGCGGGGCAGCAGTTTGTCAGGCTGTAAGAAAAGTGACTCTGGCTCTGAAAGGACTTTTGCCTGTTTTTGTGGCGTTCCCTGGGCACAAATCAGAAGCGATTATCAAAGTAACTGCCACAGAGCTTCAGTGGCTTTGTGGAAAGAGCGGGCGCTCCGTGATCTGATGCTCAGTCCTTGATGCAGCAGCCGTGGGTTCAAACCCAGCCTGCAGCCTCCCGTGCCTGTTGTTCCCTCTCTCCCGTTAACATGATGCTGTTTTGCCCATAAAGACAACAAAAGCCCAAGAAATAATCTTTAAAAAAAGAGGAATTCCACAGAACTGCAGGTTTTTCAGTGTTAATAAGAAATAAATCTATGCAGATACATGATGCAATGATTTATGAATACTTTTCATATATTCAAAGATTCCGCGGTGTAACTGGCTCATTTATGAGACTCAACATCCCATTATAGCTTCATCTGAGAATAAAGGAGATTACATAAAGTCATTTCACAGGAATTCAATTAACCTCAGCCTACAAAAAACACAGAAAAGTCCAAGGCACTCTCCTTAAATCTATAAAATGCCTTTATTCACATGGCATTGTCACAGTGACATTAAAAACCAAACTCCGACGCGTTTCGGCATATAGCCTACATCAGGGAGTCAAACAGAGTTATGAGGAAACACCTTATTCTTTTGTAGTGGTGTTCCACCAATGAAAATCTTCCACCTGGTCCCAGTGACACAGAGAGAGTGTGGAAATCAGCCAACCCCTGTAGAGGGCGTGGCCATGTTTGTTGGGTGTTTGGTTTAAGATGGCTGTGTACCAGTTTATCCTGTAGGGTGGGGCACCTCCTGAAACTGATTAAAGGTGGTTCAGGGAAAACTTGACGAAGTGTATTATCACTTTCAATAATGCCCCAATTTCTTTTTATAATATGTTTAACATTTTCTGCTTCTGTGCTGTATGTTGTTACAAACGTCACTCTATCTTTTGTTTGTTTTGGGGCCTGAAACTGTCCATAGGGAATATTTTCTTTACGTCTCTTGGGGTGGAAACTTCTGGCATGTAGTGTGGTATTTTTGTCTGTTGGTTTCCTATATATAGATGTATGCAAATTCCCTTGATTATCTTTACAAATCTCAAGATCTAAAAAATGTATACTCTCCTTGCTGTAATCTAAAGACAGCTTGATGTTAGGGTTAATACTGTTCAAAAAAGTGTGGAAGGCAAGTAGCACTTCCTCTGACCCCAACCAAAGCACACAAACATCATCAATGTACCGAACCCACCAGATAAATACCCCACAGTATTTAAGGGCTGCCAGGCCCTGTTCATGTTCTATGGTGGTGTATAATGATTCAACATCCACAGTGGCTAGAAGAGTCTCTGTGCCTATGTTTTCCAGTTATTTGAGTCTGTTCAGGACATCAATTGTGTCTTGAACATAAGCTGGAAGAGAAGGTAGAAATGACTTGATGAAATAGTCAATATACTTTGACACTGGTTCAGTGAGGCTATCATTGCCTGATATCACAGGTCTGCCTGGGGGGTTGGTCACACATTTATGTACTTTTGGAAGCATGTAGTATTGCTACAGTAGCTTGTTATAGTCCCTCTTATGCAGGCCTGTATCTGGGAAAATGGGAGGAAGATTTTATATTTGACCAGCAAAGAAATAGGTTCCTGAAACACATTACTGAAGTTATTGTTCTTGGCCCCAAACAACTCAGAGACTCTTTATCTGATTATTGTCACACATGTATACTGCCAGATATTAATATATACTTTCAACATATTGTACCACAGTAGCCAGAACTATAACTATAATATTATTACTTTCATTAATGTTGTTGTAAGCTACTGTCATTACCGTCTGTCCTGCATATCTCTCTCCCTCTCTCCCTCTCTCTCTCTCATTATGTCATATGGATTACTGTTAATTTATTATGCTGATCTGTTTTGCAGGACATCTATTGCACGTCTGTCCATCCTGGAAGAGGGATCCCTCCTCAGTTGCTCTTCCTGAGGTTTCTACCGTTTTTTTCCCCCGTTAAAGGGTTTTTTTTTGGGGAGTTCTTCCTTATCCGCTGTAAGAGTCCAAAGGACAGAGGGATGCTGTATGCTGTAAAGCACTGTGAGGCAAATTGTGATTTGTGATATTGGGCTTTATAAATAAAATTGATTGATTGGTTGATTGATTGATTGATTGATTATCTGGTGGGGTCGGTACATTGATGATGTTTGTGTGCTTTGGTCGGGGTCAGAGGAAGAGCTACTTGCCTTCCACACTTTTTTGAACAGTATTAACCCTAACATCAAGCTGTCTTTAGATTACAGCAAGGAGAGCATACATTTTTTAGATCTTGAGATTTGTAAAGATAATCAAGGAAATTTGCATACATCTATGTATAGGAAACCAACAGACAAAAATACCACACTACATGCCAGAAGTTTCCACCCCAAGAGACTTAAAGAAAATATTCCCTATGGACAGTTTCAGCATGTGCGGAGAATATATGACCAGGAACAGGAATTTGAGATGAAATCTAAAGAAATGTTGTCACGTTTTCTAGAACAGGGATATAATAACACAAACCTACAGAAAGCATACACTAGAGCCAAGAATCTGGACAGACAAACCCTCCTACAAAGACAGGCCCCAAAACAAACAAAAGATAGAGTGACGTTTGTAACAACATACAGCACAGAAGCAGAAAATGTTAAACATATTATAAAAAATATAATTATAATATATAATTATTGAAAGTGATAATACACTTCATCAAGTTTTCCCTGAACCACCTTTAATCAGTTTCAGGAGGTGCCCCACCCTACAGGATAAACTGGTACACAGCCATCTTAAACCAAACACCCAACAAACATGGTTGGGTATCAAACCTAGAGGGTCCTACAAGTGTAACCAGTGTAACCACTGCACAAATGTAATGCAAACCAAAACATTTATAGATTTTACATCTCAGAAAGAGTTCACTATCAATCATTTCATAAACTGTAAAACTACTTTTGTCATCTATAGGTTGGAGTGTCCCAGTTGTAAAGTGTTCTACATTGGAAGAACAAAAAGACGTCTTCAAGACAGGTTAGCAGAACACAAATATGCCATCCGCACTGGTAATGTTAATTACCCTATGGCAAAACATTATTTGGACTTCCATAACAGTAATCCATCCACTTTACAAGCCTTTGGTATTGACCACATTCCATCCTCCACACGCAAAGGTGACAGACTAAAAACACTGAACCAACGGGAAGCTTTTTGGATACACAAATTACAGACTACCAGACATCCTGGCCTTAATGAAGACCTAGATTTTACAGTGTTTCTGTGAATTCATTATTTTTTCTAAGTTGTCAATATTTGTTTGTTTGGACAACCACTGTTATTGTATATATCGCTGCATGTCCCTTTAACTTTTCTGATGATTGTCAATACTGATGATTTTGCCCTTTTTCTTCAGTTTTATCTTATTTTAGGGTGGGTCTTTACAGAGATTGGCTGTTTTTCCACACCCTCTCTGTGTCCACCTATCTCTGTGTCACTGGGACCAGGTGGAAGATTTTCATTGGTGGAACACCACTACAAAAGAATAAGGTGTTTCCTCATAACTCTGTTTGACTCCCTGACGAAGGCTATATGCCGAAATGCGTCGGAGTTTGGTTTTTAATGTCACTGTGACAATGCCATGTGAATAAAGGCATTTTATAGATTTAAAGAGAGTGCCTTGGACTTTTCTGTTTTTTGTATGCATTTTGTGTCCCTGTCCAAAGAGCACCTCTAACCAAGAATGAGTCCACGAAGCGCTCCTGTTTTGAACATTGTTTAACCTCAGCCTAATATTGACAGAATGAATAAAGTATAAGCAAAACTTTTACCAGACTGTACACTATTTTGGTGTTTGATTTTGAGTTGCTGCC